CAGGGCACTTGAGCTTTCTTGGGCAAGACTACACACCATGTTCTCTGCAACATTCACCTTGGAGAAACATATTTTTTAGGAATCCTCTCTAGAGCTCCCAGCTTGGATTGCTATCATATATTTCCTTCTCCCTCTTAGAAACAATGTCCTTACAGAGCCTCTCCAGTCTCTGCCCCTTCCATATCATCCTTGACCTGGGCTGATGGATTCAAGAGTCACAAGATCACTTCAATAGTATTTTCTCTGTAAGTCCTATGTAAAGAAATCTATCTTAAGACTTAGGATTTAAAATTCAATTTATTGGCACTTAGTGAAAATGTCATGTTAAACATCCTGTTACATGGTATTTTCAGTTGCTTAGTATTACAAATGATTCTGCAGTGGAAGTTTTTGTACATAGATCATTTCATACATGTTCAATATGTTAGATAAGTCCAAGAAGTAGAATTAATGGCTAAAGGATCCTCATTTTAACTTTTGATAGATATTGATAAATTGATGTTTTCCCAGGTTTATACTCTTATATTCATGTATACATCAATTTATACTCCCAGAAGCAAAAAAATTAACCTACAACACCACTAACAAGACATGCTGTCTACCTTTTGAGCTTTGCCTATTAAATTGATGGTAAAATATATTTCATTGCATTTCTCTTTCTTTGGTTAGAAATAGAAGAGTTATGATTGAGAACTATTTGCAATCATATTATTTCCTATGTGTTTTTATATGTTTTAGAATGTAAAATACTCTGGGAATTTTTAAATGACTTTTAAGAACTCAAATTTTGAGAAGCTTCCCAAGGCAAAAAATTTAGAAAAAGAGAATCTGAAGCAACGGGAGTCAATAACCAGAGCTGTGAAGTCTCAGACTATTCAACTTTTCTGATTCTTCTAAATGTTGCTGACAGCTTGAAGAGTGATGATCATGAACATCTTCTTATGACTCTCATACTACCTCCTTCTCTCTTAGCAGAGGATACATAAATAGAAGCTGCATTCCGAAAAACGTAGAGAAAATCTCTCTTTGGTTGGAGCTCAGTTTGATAAGGGTAGAGTTAGTATTAAGGGAATCAAGAGGGAATATTCTTAAGAATGCTGGTATATGAGCAATCCTTAAAATGTGCAGAAATTCTGAATGATAAGTTTTCAATTAGCTTTTATTATATTTAAATGTTATGTTTTAATGGCAAATGAATTACCAAAATATTTAGGCCTATTTTTAATCTAAAAACATTAGAAGTCTATAATGTCAAAATGATATTGATACCTGCTTAGAAAACCTTAAAGTTTGTGTTCTTTCTTAAGTTGGATAAAATAAACTATAATGCTCTCTCTGTCATTTCAGATGAACATTGACATTCAGTGCCCGTTAGTGTGGGATCTTACACAATTCAAGTTCTATATCGAGCGTATAATTTATGTCCAATGACACGCTCTCCTGAACTGCTGACAGTAAAAGAAAAGACTCCTTTCACTCCTTCCCCGTGAAAAATACAGGGCCAGGAAATGAGAATGCAGAATTCAGGTATTTTGATCTATTTAGAGAATCCTTGTTTCTGAGTAATCCACATAAGTAAAGTTTTATAACACTACTTAATGAGTAAACATTGGGTCAAGAAACATCCCAAGGATAAGATAACTTGCTATGTTTGCTATATTGTTTTCAAGCTTCTGGCCCAAACAGCATAATCATTTTCGCTCAGGTGATTTTTCTCACCGCTCTTATTGAATTGGCGCCGCCTCCAGAAGAGTACGTGTAATCCTCACTTTGCACGGTAGTGCAGGGCCATTTAAATGGCCAAGCCAGCTGAGACCACACAAAGTGATCTTCATAAGTGATGGGGAAAATCACATTTGCCCCATGACCTTTAAAAATGTGTCTTAAAACTTTAAAAATTCTCTCGTCATAGCTTATAAATATATAAGGAAATTTAAAAAATACTATTTACTTAGTACATTGTGATTTAAAATATTAGAACCATTGAGAATTCAATTTCTTTGTACTTTCAACAAGAATAGTTTGAACAGTGCTTGCCTTCTCTTTGTCACTGTATAACTTAAGATACAAAAAAAGCATCTTTCCTGCTTCAGGGCATTGTCACGGTGCTGTCTAAGTTTTGATCAGCTGCAAACATTTTAGCCTTCATGTTTTCAGTATTGTAAAATATCTAAATATCTCTGAGAGTTCTCTCAATGTGAAGTCACTTTCTCTAGAGCAGTGTTATCCTTTTTATCACAACCTCTTGCCCAATTTATGTAAATAAGTTCACTCACACTAAGTTCCTCTGGCTACATATCCACAGTCTCTCAATGGACCAATGTCAACATTCCCACAGTCAGCTATTTCTTCTACAGCTCCATTTATGTTCATTTAATTTGCTATCTCTTGTCTCTCCAAGGTATTTTCATCTTTGTTGACCAATTCATCTGTTGATTATTCATTTGTGTCAAATATCATATGGGCCTATCACTGGGAGACAAAGAAGCAACACAACAACAGGCTGAATAACAGATATGCAGTGACCAATCACCAGCTAATTTTAAAAGAAGTGACATGATTCATGATGGGCACCTGTTACGGACACCGTGATTATGGACTGAAGAGCCCGCAGGAAGTGTGCACTATACGCACTTACTCAGTTAATATGCCATGGCAACTAAAATTCTAACCATATTGTTGAAGGACTGGTGTTAAGTAAGTCACAGTAACTGAAATTCATGCATATGGGAACTGTGCAAAGCAAATAGTGACTTGCTATAAATAGAAATTATGTGTTTATTTCTTTATTCATAAGGCCTTACTTTTGGAAACAAATAGCTCTTCTTTCTAGGTATACTTTAAGAATATGGGAGAAAAAAGTAAACAGAATAATAGGATCTAGTGACAGTTCATTCCCATGTACATATCTGCATTGTACTTTAATAAATAACTTAAATAATATTTATTATGACAGACATTTTTCTAAAAGCTTTACAAACATGGACTCTTTTAATCATCTTAGCAGCTAGTTACTATCTTAGCAGCTAGTTACTATCATTTTGCCTCTTAAATATGGGAAATAGGAACAAAGAAGGTAAGTGACTTGCCTAAGGTTACACAGCGAGTAAAAGGAGGAGCAAGATTCAAACCCAAGCACTCTGGCTTTGGAAGCTGTGCTTTCTTTCAGCCATAATGCTGCCTTGTGCCATCGGCATGTGTCACTAACTCTGCAAGTAACATATTATCAGGTCATTGCTCTTTCTAGTAGGGTTCTGTTTCATTTATTGTTGTAGTTTATGGTACAGAATTCAATAGACAAAACTGCATTGTTTGCAACAGAGATTACGAAGACCCCACACAACTTAGTGGGGAGGTTGTGCCTCCCAGCATGAAGGTAGAGAAAAAAACAAAACAGGGCCCTAACCAGTTTGGCTCAGTGGATGGAGCGTCAGCCTGCAGACTGAAGGGTCCTGGGTTCATTTCCGGTCAAGGGCACATGCCCAGGTTGTGGGTTCTATCCCATCATCATTGATGTTTCTGTTTCTGTCTTTCTCTCCTTTTCCCTTCCTCTCTGAAATCAATATATATATATATATATATATATATATATATATATATATATACACATCACACACACACACACAAAAAAAAACCAGGGATCATGAAATGAATAAATCTCTACTCAGATTACAAGGATCTCTTAAGGGAGATATGCAAGCCAATTCTACTGAAATTTAAATGGCATCAATTTTACTTTGCTTTCCAAACAACTGTCCATCCCTCCAACCACTAAACCTAAAAATTATAAAAGTTAATTTTAGTGAACCTGACAAACATATTAGAAGGAAAAATAACTGTAGGTACATGCAACTGATAAAACACAGCAAGTTCAAAAATATTATGTCTGTTTGGAGTAATCAGATAACAGTCTGCTTCATTGGAATTGTGGTTAAAGTTTAAAATGGTTGTTTATTTTTAAATCTCCTTGTGTTTCATTGCCACTTCCTGAATGTCTGCTTGGTGCCTAGCAACTGCCAACCATCCAATTTTCAATGCTGTCTTTTTCTCTCTTTGGCAAATAAAAAGAAAAACATCAAAAGGTTATGCAGGCTGTTACTAAAAATGACGTACTTCATAAAATGATATGAATGACCTGAAATAAGTCATTCATGACTATAAGATCACAAGCTACGTAGAGTACAGCAGAGGGTCTATTTCACATAAAGTCTTTTCAATTCCTGAATCCAGTTCCACTAGTTGTAAGAACTTCTTTATTATCTATACAATAGATCTTGGTTTATGAGTGATTTCACTGAAGAGGAAGAAGAAATGAGAGACTCTATACTAAAGGAAAATTAGTGAAATTGTGTAAGAAGTATATGAACTAGAGAGAAGAGACAGACTTTATCCCAGACCAGTGAATTAACCAATGTAGTCACCAGTTTCTATTAAGAAGAATCAAGCTATATGACCTCTAGTTAATTCAAAAATTAATAATATCCTAAGAGATAGATCATAAAGAGAACTCAAAAAAAGAAAAAAGGAGAATAAAACTATTTGATCTCTAAATTCCTTTCAGTTCAAAATGTGAATAATTCTACAAAAGCACTTTAATTATTTTAAGGTCATCCAGTAAGCTGTAACCTTCGCTACCGCATGCTGTTCAGTGCTGAAATGCCTTAATTGGCTTCCCATTTCTCTTAGAATACAATCCAAATTCTTTTTCATGGCCCAGGAAGCCCTGAATGTTCTCTCTCCACAAGCTTCTCTCCATTCTCTCTGTTCCCATGCCTAGGTCAGTTATTTACACTTGCTAAGCTGATGTCTGTCTCGCGGATGTTGCCCATCGTTCTCCTTAAACATCTTCAGTTCCAACTTCTTGGCCTTTAGGTCTCAGCTTAGATGTCACCTCCTCTTAGAGAGGCATTCCCTGTCCAGCTGGTAAGAGGGAGCTTTTCTTTATCACCTACTCTATAGCCTGTACCACAACTTGCAATTATCTGATTACTTGCGCTTACCTGCTTTCTTCTATAGAAGAGCATTAGCTGCCTTATTCCACCATGTGTCCCCTTGAACAGTGCCTGGCAAATAGTAGGTATTAAATAAGTATTTTGAGAATAAATGAATGATCATATATCATTTACTGATGCACCATTAATGCCAAAGGAAAATGCTTGCTATGTAGTAGGCAATTTTCTAAAGTATTTTCTTAATGTAATTGAATGAGTGAAACTTTATCACATTCTTATAAAGGTGTCAGTATGAATTATCAACTATGTATTCTGTATCACTGCTATAAAATATTTCCACAAACTTGGTAACTTAAAACAACACAGTTATTACTTTATAGCTCTGGAGGTCAGAAGTCTAACATGAGTCTCATGGAGCTAAAATCAAGGTATTAGGAGAGCTGCATTCATTCTGGAGAGTCTAGGTAGAATCTGTCACCGTGCTTTTTCCAGTTTGTAGAAGGTGCCTGCATTCCTGGGCTCCTGGCCCCAATTCCATCTTTAAAGCCATGTGGCCATTTGAGTCTTTATGCTGCTATATCAGTCTGACAATGATTCTCCTGACCCCTTTCACTTATATGCACCCCTGTGATTATATTGAGCTTACCTGGATAATCCAGAAGAATCTCACCTAAACATCCTATTTAATCACATCTGCAAAGTCAATATATTCACAGGTTCCAGGGATCAGGATATGGGTATCTTTGGGGGCCATTATTCTGCTTGCCACGTTGTCATTTGGTATGATTCTGGGAACAAATCACCCTTGTCTTGGGTAATCCATTGAAACCTCTTCTCTTTCAAGCATGTGCTACATGGTCTCATTCTGGAGATAAATTTTCCGTAAATAATCTTATTTCTCATTTTTCCCTCTCTGGGCTTTGGCCTGAGGGTGTGAGTAATAATCTTTTGCATAAATTGAACTACTATCTTATATGCATGTAAATAGCCTAAAAGTAAACATTGACATCTCTGGACAGACTAAAGAAGAGTCATTTCTATTGCTGATAGAAGATAATTATAAGAAAAGAAAACACATTCTATTCTCATCATCAAAATAAGGATGACAACATGTATAATGTAAGAAGATAAAATTCAGTGAGCGTCAGGCCAATTGCATCATTATTGGAAGGATCTATCTTTCTAAGGGATGAAGGTGGGATTTGTTTTTTATTATAAATTTTAAAAAAATAACTCCTCAGAATCTTAAAGAAGAAAAGGAATATTTCACACTTAGAACAGACACCAGGATACAAAATTACAAGTGTTTGACCCCAGTCCTCTCCCCTTCTCTATGAGCAGAGATGGGAAGGAGACAGTGAAGCAAAGAAGCAATTCTGTAAAACAAAGACTTCAGATCCCTACAAATATTATTAAAATATAAAATTCTGTTTTGCTTTTGAAAAAGGAGACCAGGGCACAAGGGCAGGATGATGGACTTCAAAGCCTGCTTTAAGCGAAGACAGTTCTCACTTGCCTAAGGTAAGTCAGCCTGCACAAGTAAGCAAACCCAGGGGCCTAACACATCAACCTGCCATCTATATATTCTATCTGCCTTGGCACAGCTTGTGTTTCTGGCATTATTTATGAAGGCACTCTTGCTATATTTGCACAGCATGCAGCATTGTTCACAGCAGGATACAGATTATTGTCAATGAATAATAACCCAAAAGCTCCTAACCCTTTTGTGCTGATGCCTAATAACTAAAACAGAAAATAGCCACTTCTCTGTGTTCTGCTTAAGTTTGTAGTACAGCCATAAATAACCTACCAGCAGCAGGAGCCATTGGGCATCAGTGACCACCACAGCAAAGTTACAAGTTTTATTGTTCCCTATTATACTATAAGCAATATTTATTACTAAAACTTTAGTGATGCACCCTAAATGTGGACATCAGAATTTTCTGATATCTCATATTGCTCGAGTTGTTAATCAAGCCAAAGTATACATCAGGTCTGGTTTGGGAACTTACTGTGAAAAAAATGGGAAGAACATGCAGAGAAGTGGAAATCCCTACATAGGCATTATTCTCTCCAAATTATTACAATTGCATGGAAATTCATCTTCTAGCATACAGTGGACAATGGAGCTTTTTTTCCTACCAACTGGTTTACCTTGTTTTGGCTATTTTCTCTCTCTTCTTTTTCCTGATCCAAGATAATCCTGTATAATAAAAGCATAATATGCAAATCGACCAGAGGAATGACCAGTCGCTATGATGTGCACTGACCACGAGGGGGCAGACACTCAATGCAGGAACTGACCCCTGGTGGTCAGTACACTCCCACAGGGGGAGCGCTGCTCAGCCAGAAGCCAGGCTCATGGCTAGAGAGTACAGCAGCGGTGGTGGGAGGAGCCTCTCCCACGTCCACTGCAGGCTGGTGGTAAGGAGCGAGGGGTTCCGGACTGCGAGAGCACCAGACTGTGAGAGGGATGTCTGAAATCCACCCCCCCCCCAAGGGGGATTGGGCCTAAGCCAGCAGGTGGATATCCCCCAAGGGGTTCCAGACTTCGAGAAGGCACAAGGCAGGCTAAGGGACACCCCACCCCCAGCCAGTGCATGAGATTCATGCACTGGAGCTCTTGTTTTACTATAAACACTAAACATAAACATAAATCTCCCATGGAGACTTTGACTAAAATTGCCGTATTTTTCCTTTGGACTATAAATCTATTATATAAAGTTACATTTACCTCTATTTTCTGTTACTAAGCAATTATTCTTAATCATATTTTACCCAACAGTACCTTAACATACCTGACCCTAATGTCCCATCTTAAGGGACCACACTAAACTGACTTGTCAATTCAGGTCATCTATTTCAAATAGCCCAGAAGAGTTGTAAGCCAAAAAGGAAATTGCTTAGAAGTTTGGGGGGGGGGGGGAGACTAAATTACAATTCCAAATATTGTTAACAATATAAGTTTATAAATCAAGATAAATAAAAATTCACTTAACCTATCCTTTTTATTAATTAAAATAGTACAAGCATTTGAATATATATTATTGTCAATACAAAGTATTTCAAATATTTTATGATTACTAAAAGATGTAAAGGCTAGCCTGATCCAATATACCATTGTTCTAGGGAATGGAACAAAATAGACTTTCCCTAACATTCTTGTTTATAAAAAAGTACAGGAAATGCATTAGGTTCAGATGGCCATCTCTTGGAGCTTATCACCGAGAACAGCTAGAACAACTATGCCAGCTTTAGTTCCTTCTGAATCCTCTCCTCTACTCGTTCCACACTGTTCTTGTTCCTAGCTGTCTGGCCTGCAACATTCATCTCTTGCTTTAGTTATCTATACACGCTATTCAGAGTCATAAGAAAATGTACATATAGTTTCCATGAGCTTTAGCAAAAAGAAGTTAAGCAATAAACTCATCTAAATTGTCCAGAGTATCAGCAGATAGTGAATGACCTTTATTTTCTATGAACTTGGATAAAATTCAATAATTAGGTTGCCACATTTATTCTTCTATAGGCAATAACTTGCTAAAACTTTTGTTTAGTCTATTCCAAATATCAGAACTCATAAAAAATAAATGTAATTTATTAAGTAGTCATTATTTTCTCTCTTGACACTTAAAATAGGTCAAATTTCTTATTCAGAGATCAAAAAACCTCATATGTATATGTTAGGGTTCTTTATTGTTTTCCTTTTGACAATTGAATTGAAGCAAATTAGGTATCAATTAGGTAAAGTTTTAAAACTAATTTCAATGATAAATAAGGGTTGCAAAGTCCTACAGTGAGGCCCAGGATGAAGTGCCAGCCATGAAAACAGGCAAACCTGCAATGAGCCCTTCTATGTGATGTCTGTATTCCTTTGCATTATCTCAACCTTACCTCCCTTTAAGTGGTTAGTTTCTCAAACCCAGCAACTCTGCCTCTTTGGTGATTAGAATGAGAGGCAGTGTTTAAAAGATGCTCTGGCCCTGGCCTGTGTGGCTCAGTTGGTTAGAGCATCATCCTGTGCACCTGAAAGTCGTGGGTCAATTCCAGGTCTGAGCACTTGCCTGGGTTGTGGGCGCGTGCAGGAGGCAGCGGTCGATATATCTCTGGTATTCATGTTTCTTTCTTTTTCCCTTTCTTCCTCACTCTCTAAAAAATCAATAAAGTATGTAACCTTAAAAAAAAGTGCTCTGGAAGTTCTGAAGAACTACTCCAGCTTCTCTATATATTTCCCCGGATGCTCTTACAGTAGCACCAGGAAGCCTCGCCATCTGGAAGAATTACCACTGAGGATTTCACCAGGGATCTCAGGACTTGATCACACCCCTCACACAATGCAGAGGGATCCTTTGCAAACACCATTGTTAAAAATGTCTGTGTAAGATCCAAAGTTCTCCTGGGATACTGCACCCACAGAATCACAAGGGGCCAACGCCAGAAAAGCTGCTTCCACCATGCTGGCATCAGACCTAGGCTATACAGGCATTCTGCAGTGGTCGCTGTGCCTTTAATTCTAAGTACATAGGTCTTCTTCAAACGTCTCTTATCCAAAACTTCTGAAATATCTTATTTCCCCCAATATCAAGTGGCAAACACTCTATAACTGGATATAATTTAATTTCTATGTAAATGAAATTACATTTTCATTTATGTTTCAATTGAAGCTGAAAAAGTCACTGTGTCTGGCTTATTAAAAACTAAAAGATTGAGTAGAATGAGTTTTCTTACATGGACTAAAGATAGAATTCTCAATTATATTTATACTTTTCAATTTGGTGACATGATATAGTGAATCAGACTTGTGACGTGTCTAAAATGTCTAGAGTCTTCTTACTCAGCCAGCAACTTTTTAGTCTTCTTTCCTTATTAAATCTCATGAACTCACTGTCTCACTTTTCCTTTTCTACCCCTACATTGATATCATAGTAGTCACACATTATCTTGACAATTAGAGGCGATCACTACTCCTTTTAGGACAACCTTGTTGAATGTAACTTTCATGATGTCTGGACATCATGAAGGCACTTACCTCTTATGACTGCTTTATTTATGTTTAAAATAATTTTAAAAGTTCTTACTTTCCCCTGGATTTTTGTCATGAGACATTTTAATTCCTCTGGGGTGATATTATCATAGAAGTTGACAAAACTCAATTGACATAGAGACTCCAATAATTCTATGTACAGGGTCATGCAATTAACATACATATAACAGCCTGACTTGGTGTAGCTCAGGCCTGAGAGTCAATCTATGAACCAGGAGGTCACTGTTCGATCCGGTCAGGGCACATGCCTGGGTTGTGGTCTTGATCCCCAGTTGGGGCCTTACAGGAAGCAGCCAATCAATGATTCTCTCTCATCATTGATGTTTCTATCTCTCCCTCTCTCTGCCTCCCTGAAATCAATAAAAATGAATTTTAAAAAAATACATATATAACATTGCTTGAGTAAACAAATAAATGCTCAGGAACACATAATTAAGTTAAGCATCCCTTTTATTTACTAAATTAATTTTAAATGACTCATGAGTTTAATGTTACAATACATGTAAGTAATCTAAGATAAATTTTTAAAACATGCCCAGAAATTTATGTGGGTCTTATAATCACTTATTAATATATATACAGTTTTTTAGATGTGCCAAACACTTCATGCTTATCAGTGCACTTAATCTTTACAACAACTTTAAGTTAGTTTCTATTATCCCCATTTCACAGATGAAGAAGTTAAGGTACTGGAAGGTTAAATAACTTGGCCAAAGTCATGTAACAAACAGTGGCATAGTCAAGATTCAAACACATGCCACCTGACTCCAAATTCATGTTCTTAACCGGTATGCAATACTGTCCCTAATGCTTATTCCCAGCAGTTTCCCATTCGTGTATTACCCAAGAGCCTGACCTTGCTGAACTTCTGTCAGCTGAGTTGTGACTGATTCACATAGCTTTGCAGGATGGAATTTACAATTTTGCAATAACACCTAAAAAGCTCCTACAGTTTTGCAATAACTACCCAAATTAACTGACAGAAGGTCTTGATTTAGAAATGCCAGATTTAGCAAATAAAAATATAGGCTGTTCATGTAAATTTGAATTTTAGGTAAACATCATTTTTAAAAATATAAGTATGTTTCATGTGATATCTTGGACATACTTACACTAAAAATGTATTTGTTATTTACCTAAAATTCAAATTTAATTGGGTGTTCTGTATTTTCTCTGGCAACCCTATCCTGGCTTCATTTCTTTCTCTAATGTTATCCACTGAACAGGAAGGTAATACCCTTATGCAAATTTGAAAGCCCATCTTAATCATCAGGATGATCCCAAGAATGGTGCAGATTCCTCAGCCAACCAACTTCCCTGTGGTGGCAACTCCTCAGGTCCAGTGTCTGTGTGTGACTTAATGGTCTGATTTGCAGGGAAGCCTTCATTCCAAAGGTTTACTCCATGCCTTTATATTTCAGTTGAAGCCTGAGTCACACATCAGCAAAAACTACCAAAGCATCAGCAAAAACTGTCACAAACTCCTAATGGTCATTTTCACTCCCACCATATTCCTGGTACAATAAAACATTCAAAATTTCATATAAAGACCTTCGTATTTCTCCTTCTATTGCTTTCTGAGTGTTCAGTTTGCATCATTAAATGTAGAGACCAGATAGATGTTGTCTTTGAACGTCTGAGGACAGAATTGGGTCCTGGATGCTTTGTATCTGACTGTCCTAAAGCCTATATCAGGGATCAGGCCAAAATGCATGATTCCATGTAAAATTAATTACTGGGTGAGCTTCCCATTACTGAGTTCACAGTGGCCTTGGAAAATACTGTCCTTCGAGGGATGCAAAGTCAGCCATGCAAAGTGCTATTTAATTGCTGCATTGAGCTTAAAAGCAGCCAACTCTATCATATTAGCCCTGGGTTGGTCACATCAGCAACTGCTGAATAACTTGTTGGCTGATTGACTGAAGGGCTATTGGAAAGGTACTGGGTAATTCTCTTTGCTATTAGATCAGATGTCCTTTTCAAGGGTGAACCCAGCAGGGCCCTAGAAAGCAATTGGGGGGAGCTGCTGAAAACTATTCATGAGAGCAAAAGAGAAGAGAATCACATTATCTGCACTCTATGCTGGATGCATAAGCATTGGAAATGGAGTTGTCACAGCAGTGAGAACAGAGAAAATGGCACAGGATTGCGAGTTTGGAGCTTGAGTTTTGGTCCTCTGCTAATAACCCTGTGGGAGGCCATGGGAGAGTTCATTCTCTCTGAAAGTTTAGCTAAATGTTTTCTAAGGTCACTTCTTTAATTTATAATTTTTCAACTGACTCAGACTTTTATGCATTTTATCAGGAAGAAGTTTTAGCCTTCTGCCCCATCTCAAATATTGATTTGCTGCTTTTATTCCTCAACTTTCTAAGCAGATCACATACTTGAAAATGTGATATCAGTTCTCATGAATATCCCAATTATTAAGAGAGTTCAACTAGTTAGGTTAATCAGTATGGCCCTGGTGTTATGACACAATTGATCCTTTTTAGTTATTCATTCTTTTATTCAGTAAATGCTGAAATTTTAGTCAGTAAATATTTCATACTTATTAAGAACCTACTACATGTTATGCACTGAGCCAAGTGCTGGTGAGAAGGTCCCCAGCTATAGAGCTATCATCTCAGTAGAGAAATAAGAATGTAAACAGAATTTCAACAAATTGTCGGTGTTATAAAAGAAGTGTTGGTGAAGAGCCATGGTAGGCTAGAGCGAACGTGGCCATCGCCTGTCTGAATCAATCAGAGAAAACTTGCACAGAGGAGGGACTGTTTGAGCTGGACTTTGAAAGATGAGGTTGTGAGATAGAAGAGGTAGGAAAGGCATTCTGGGCAGAAAATACAATATTATTCTGCAATTATAAACACAACTAATATGAGCTTCAAGGTAAAGCGAGGTTGAAAAGGCTAAAGAGGCCAGATTTGATGGCCAAAATGTCACAGAATAAAGAGAAAATGAAGTAATATATGTAGAAAAAAATTAAATAAGTATGTATGTTTGTGATGCAAGGGTTGATATTAAGAACATGAGCTCCTGCCCTACAAAAAAAAATCATATTGAATAGCATGGAGAACACTATGATCTTCCATAGGCCAGTCTTTAGAACAAAAAATTTTATTCTTACATCAACTAAAGATTCTGTATGGAGTTTCTCACTTTTCTTAACATTTGGTCTTCACAAAGCTTACTTCTCATTGATGCCCAAACTATAGTTCCCTTCTTTCCCCAGCAAGTACTTGCCATGGTGTGACATCATTGATTACTACTTGCAGTGCCTTGACTATTCATCTGTTTATTTGCTTTGAACTTGAAAAAATATTTTTCTTTTGCAGACAATATTTCTTGAATTTATGTTTCCATTCTTGAGTAATGAGTTAATTTCATATGTACTCCAAACTTGTCAGTTCCTGGCACAGTGTTTGGCATAGCAAAGCCAAAAATCACATATTACCAGCTTGGAATAGGAACCATCTTTTCTCCTTACATTGCACTAACCTTCACATCTCATATTTCCAGGGGCCTTACTATCCTTCAATGAATAGTGGTCAATTTTTCTATTTCATATATGTATTATATTTTATAGCTTTAAAAGCTCTGAGGTTGACTTCTAAATCGTAAAGAAACCCGTCTCTCTCTAAATATATTAGAAGGAGTTAAGGTGCTGGAATAGAAACAGATGGGGGGGAAAAGAGATATAATTAGAAGTCAGCAGAAACTGTGGCTTTCCTATTTGTATTGCATGGTTCCTTTCATTGACTATAATGTATGAGCTTCAGTATAATATGTAATGTGGTCATCAATTTTAATTTTGCCAGCCTTTCATTTGACTGTTGTTGCCATTCCCATCCGAATCTTCAAAGGACACTGTCAGGATGATTATCACAGTCACCAGATCTTTCTTCTATTATAACACTGAATATGATCAGCCTATTTTTTCTTTGCAACTTGGGATCACAGAGAGTTAGTATGCACACTCTGATAACCATCTTTTTCCGAAAGTACAGCTTTCAGGAGCATAATCACAATTACCTATTCTCTAAGTAACTCAGTTGATATAATAATTAATAATACTAATATGGCTCATTTTAGGGAAATATTTAATTCTATTCCACGTTTAAATGGTTACAGCACGTTGAATTGCACCCCCTGCCTCTACCCAGTTAAACCAAGGCTTGCATTCTCATTTGAAGACATAAGAAAAGACAGTGCTCTCAAACTTGGCCAATTCACCAAAAGATATCTCTGATGTTTAAATGCTTTACCTGAAAACTCTTCCATAAGCATATCAAAGCCGGGATCCCCCTTCTTTCCTCTGATGTTGTGCTTTGCACATTATCACAAACCAAGTTTATGCAGGAATCAGTAGTTAGTCCTAAAATTCATGAATAAATGTGATGCTAGTCAGTGTTTTAATTCAAGGGAGATGCTTTTAACACAAATCTATATAGGCAGACTTACTGATTTACCAACCTTAGTGAATGTTTACATTCTCTTAGTTCACTTGAGATTCCCCCAAGAACTAAAAAATCAGGACATTCTTTTATTAGATTGGTAGTTATGTCTTTTTCTCTAAAACTTGAAGAAATTCACTTGGTGTCTGACTATAACATTACTATCTGATAAATGTCTTTCCCCTGGAATAATCAAATATACAAGTAATTTCCCAGTTATTCCAATAAAATTATGAAAGAAAACTAGGTAAACTGTGAGTTCTTGGCTTCCTACCATACATTCAAAGCTAAACATAAAATTTCTATTCTGGCATCCTTGCTGGCTGCAATCCACTTCACTCACTAGTTACAAGTTATTGTTTTTCTCACCTAATTCTATTACTCATATAATTCTTAAAAGCTCTCATAAAATGAACATGCATATAGCATCTTCTGTACTTCTGAGATGAATTTATTACTGAAATTTATTAGCATTTAAGGACAGCAGAAAATACTCATTTGAACTCATAGTCTTGTGAATATAGTTGACAATATATGCCACACAGTTCAGTTCACTCTAAGCACTGTCAGACACACACACACACACACACACACACACACACACACACCCCATGATATTATAAATAATGGCATTCTGCATGGTAGACAATTACGTTTTGAATAATTAGTCTCCATTAATATCCTCATAGGTAGTTGTGTTTACAAATAAATGAAGACCAGCTTAATTGCAATATTCAGAACAATAATTAATGGCATGAGTTCCGAACTGACATGGTAGGCCTATTAAGTAAGGAATGTTTATTCTTGTTCACCACTGTACCTCAATACCTAGAGCAGTGTCTGAATTCTACTAGGTTTTTAAAAATATATATATATTTGTTTTAAAAAATGAATAAATAAATTATCTAGAAATATTAGGTGGGAAATAATTTCCCCTTTTTAAAATTCCTTTATAGTAGAGCAATATAGAGGATATATTTCAGAGGAAGAGAAAACACATATTTAACAACATGCATTTGATTCAGAAACAGTAGCTGACTTGAGCAGGACTTTAGATGAATATTGCCCCTTAATAGGAGAATCTATAATTACTTAAAAGTTGAAAATCACAGTGATTTACAGTCGCAGAAAATTCTTATGTGCAGCAAGTTGCGGTAACCAAGGAGATTAGTGCGTGGGGGCTGACAAAGGGCAGAAGTGAATTCAGGTGAGCACATTGAGCTCAGACTCTCTGTGGAATGTGCATCTGAGCATGATGCACTTACCTGCTTAGATCTAAATATCACAGTCATCTGTCTGGTTGGAGATAATTGGTCTAACATACCTGGCTTGTGGAGAAAAGCATGCAATGTGCCTGGTCCATGGGGAAATAGAGTCCTCCACAAAGTGTTAAATCTTGGCCACTTACTAGACCCATCGTTATGCTAACCCCCTCATTTTCTCTCTTTGGCTGAAAATGGTGGAGTTCTTACAGCTTTCCCTTTTGTGTGAGATCAGTATAAAAACAGGATGATGGAAACAGGTTTTAACAAGACAACTTTCTAGCCAAGTAATTCATGTTATAAGACATGGAACTTGATTTTCCTGTTTATCCTGCTGGCCTTTAACCTGGCCTAAGTCCAAAAGTTTAAGTGAGGTTGACTCCATTAGGCCAAACTAACTCTGTAATCCACAGCCCCTAATCTTTCATCAGACCTGCTCCAAGAATCTTGCTGGGATTTCATGGTGCTCACAAGAACTTCTGAATAGATAGGGCCCACCTATTAGATTTTAAAAATTAAATCGGAAGATATTTGCTGGCAGACAAAAAAGCATGTTTCATAATTGCTAAAGAATCCTGCTACATCATGGAATATGATGGTAAATGTATGGGGAGCAAAAAGAAATAATAATGAAAAGGAAAACTAAAGTAGAAAAAAAAAGCCAGAAACTTAACACCTTTGGGATTTTGCCATCCTCCGGCTGTATCTGCTTGCTAACTCTGCCACTTGTTCACAGATGTTGTGTGGATCTCAGCCCAGGTGACTACACAGTGCTAGTCGCACTGCCAACTCCAGCATCCCCTTTCCTCTCTGAGTACAGCCAGTGTACTCGGTGTCACTGGGAAAGCTGAAATCCTATCTGAGAAAAACAAACGAAAAAAAAATAGCACTAACTTGGACACAGCCTAGGGGAGGGAAGGCTGAAGAGAAGGCAAGCCATGGGATTCAGATCAGTTCACATGCCTGCTGGGCTTGCTGCACACTGTTCTCGGTTAAGACTAAACTAAACTAAACAGAAACCTGAACATTTTACTGATTGAAGGGAATTTAGAATTCATCTGGCCCAAGATCCTCACTTTATAGCTATGACATTTATGGCTGAGATATAACCATTACGACTAAATAACTGAACTTGAGGATCCACAACTACCTACAAAGGAGATCGATACGCTGAGGGTATGGCCAACTAACACTTTATAGATCTGTTTTTCATTATAGATCTGACTTTAGGTAGTACAAAGGCAGCAGTATATTTTAATATTTATGTATTTATTTTAATATATTTTTAAATATAATCAGCACATCAATTTAGTAATGTATAATTTCCTGTAAGTGAAAATAAACAAACCCTATGATGAACCAAAAAGAAATTGTTCTCTTGGAAATGTAGTGTAGTAATTGCCCTGATCTGCATTGCAACATATCAGCCACCTCCTTAGAAGCGAATGGGGTTGGGATGAAGGCAATTTGGAGCTTTTCTGAGAAGCCAGCAATGAGGAAGCCTTTTCTAACCTAAGGGGTCTTTATTTTTAAGGGAAATTGGTTTAGTCACTGAGGTTAGGGGAATTCCTCTGGATGTATTCCTAGAAAAAAGTAAATCCATCCTTCCTTGAAATTACGAGATATTAGACAAATTCTTCACATATTTCCATCCATAAGTGTCTGTAATTATTGAGAAAATGTAAAAAGTGATAATACTGCCAAAACAGTAACAATATACTAGTACTTAATGTCTATAACATATCACGTAGTACACAAATCAGGTATAAGTTAGGATCTCATCCTATATACTAAAAATGTAATACGCAAATCAACTGAAAGGCTGAACAACCAGTCAGTGGGGGGCAGGGCTGGCGAGTAGGTAGCGCCAGGCTGGCCAAAGTGCATGCTAGCCGGCAGAGGGAGGGGATGGCGATGGGGGGTGGGCAGTGACCAGCTGCAGCGGAGGGGTGATGGGGGGGTGGGGCCGGCCATGCCCTGATCTGCTGCTTGGTTGCCTCCGAGAGCGGGCCTAAGCTGTCAGTTGGACATCTTCTGAGGACTCCTGGACTGCAAGAGGGCACAGGCCAGGCTGAGGAACATTCCCCTCCCTGCCCCCCCCCCCGCCCCGCCCGTGCACAAATTTTTGTGCACCAGGCCTCTAGTATTAGATAATACCAATCTTCTATCATAGTTTTTGGGTTGGATAGCAGTGAACCAGGAAACAGAAACGTGGAGCATAGCTAGGTTGGGTTTTATTTGGGGGTGATTATCATTATTACCTGTAGACTCACATTGCCCCTAAATTAACAGAAGTGCTAAACAATAGTATTTCAACAGTGAATCCCAGCCCCTCTCTGGTTAAAGTGACTGATGAATAGGTTCCCCTGAGTTAGGTCTTGTTTCCATTACCAAAGCTAAGCTTGATAGAGACTATTGTGGCACATTGTAGACATGGTTCTATATGGAAGTCAGCTAGACTGACCACTTCCTTCCACTGAACGTGGAAAGAAACCTGATAAGCAACTTTGGACCACTCCATTTTGGGGCAGCTGTAGTGTCTGTACCTCATTCTCAGACAGATTTTTCTTTTTCCACTGAAGAGATACAGTGGTAACATTGTGCCTAATATTTCTGCCCATAAACTCTTTATTCAACCAAGTTAAATGAATAAATAAATATTGAGAGAACATGAAAGAACAACTGTATTTGGTGATTGATTTTCATATATAACTACGGAACTCTGATTTTTGCAGGCCTGAGAGATTTGTGACAGGACTCAACAGATCCCCAGCTACTCTCAGAAAAATATGATCAGAATCCAAAAGTTCCTGTTTAGTCACTTCTCAAGAACAGCAGTTGCCTTCTAAGATTTATTCCAAGTCTCCTGACAGGCAGAGGATACACTGTCATGCTTTTATTTTTTTATTAGTTTTAGGCCACTAAGTATAATTTACACCAAAGCTCTGAGACCAATCACTCTAGGAAAAGTTCTATGTTACCAAGACAATGTGTCATCTGCTTTGTAAAATAATAACACTATTGATCTGTCAAAATACACTCTTGATGAGCAGGAAATATGTTATTAAATTATTAATGGATAGCTTCAACTGGCTTTCTCATGTCTAGCTATTCCCTTCTTATAAATATGAGATACAAAACTATATGTACAAGTCAACTTAAGATCCTACGTAGGTAATAAAGGGCTTTGCTTCTTTTGAAGAGGTAAGTCAGGGGTTTCTTCTAAGATCAAAACTTCCAGTAGAATTAGAGTAACAGATTTGGATATGGAGTAAGAAAATTATGCGTGAAACAAACAAACAAAATTCCAGAACTAACCCATGGTCACAAAGTATATATGTATAAGTTTATTATTAGGTAAAATTTCTCAGTAAAACTGTGATTGTGCAAATTATAAAGTTAAGAACATTTTTCTTTGTACATGAATCTCTAATTTGCCACAATAGTAGTAAGTCAGGCTAATCCATTTTCTTATGGAAATAATAAGCATTGCTTGAATTTAAGAATATGTTTTATGACTCATTGTCATAAAATGCTTATTTTAAGCATTTTAAAATGCCTATTTTTAAGCATTTTAAAAAGTAACATGTTTTTTGCAAAGTCATCATGTGGTTTAGATAGTAAATGGATTCTTTAGGTTATATCATCTAGTCATATTACCAAAAATTACTTCACTTTACCATTTAGCTCATTATGTTTCTTTTCTACTATCTTTGGTTTCTTTTACTTGATGCTGGTGGACATAATTATAAACATTGACTTCCATTGTGTATAAGAAACTGTTGGGATCTCATCCCACAACTTCTAAATATTGGAATGTCAATGTTGAATTCTTTGGTGATCACTTTTAGTCCCAGGACTTTATTCAACCTAGTCTATGTTGTAAACAGGCAGATTTATATGTCCAGCAAAGCCCTCTCCCTTGAAACACAAACCTATATGCAACTTCCCACCTCACATCTCCACATGACCTATAGTACACTAGACATTGCAAGCTTCACATGACCAAAACAAATAGTTGATCTTCACCTCAAATCTGCTCTACCATTGTCTTCTTCATCTCATTTAATAGCAACTTAATCCTTCCAGATTCTTTGCCCTCATCCATTGGTTTCATCTTTGTTTCTCTTTCTCTCACATTCATTTATAATGACGGGGGAAGTTTGGTTGTGTAGAAACAAACAAACAAACAAAAAACAACAGTTCTGATAATAGAAGCTGCACTCATTAACTCCTTGCAGTACAAAGACCATCTCTTTTTGTCTTCTGCACCGTTGAATGCTAATGCTAGATATTTTGTACCTAATATATAGGACAAAATAAAAAATGTTCAATAAGTGCTGAATTGCTGAATGTATAGTTATTCCAATAATTTTGGCAAATAGTCTTTTTAAAAATGTTATGAAAGCTATCTTTAAAAGTTAATGATATAACATACCAAATACACATACACTCATGCTATTTATAGATGTGTTCACCAACACCAAACATCCCAGTGCTATTAGCTAAGCAGTTCCTAGGTTTCCCTGCTAATGATCGGGATGTCTAATGCTAAGTTATGTGAATAGTTGAGAGGCCCCATTTGTAGGTTTCATTTTAATGGTTTCTGCATGGGAGACCTTCTCATTATAACCCTTACTTATGCAGAACCTATACTTTATCTTTGAACTTATAGCTAGTTTCCTGGTAAAGTTTTCCAAGCCTGGATATCTATACTTATCAGAGAAATTTCCCAGAATTTATATTTCCTATATTCCACTGATCCAGAACATAACTTGATTTCTCCATATTAAAAATATTGTGTGTGAATAGCTGGTCCTTTCATTTCTATAACACATACGTTTGCAGGCTTACTGACTAGAAATTCCTCCCAAGGCATTTCACATGTTAAATTGAGAAGCACATTAGGGAGTTTCAGCATGAAATTTCATATCCATTATGTCCAGCACCAAGTTGTCTATGAAATAATAGTAATGAATAGCATTTGGAAAGATGATGCAGTTGTGAAGTAGCATAAACATCCAACCTTTTATCAGAATATAAAAGTCTCTATAAGTTTTTACCTTCAATCATGACTGAATAGTAATGGTCAAAGAGATCTCTGCAGTATTTCAACAGTTTCAGAAGTGTCTCAGTCATAGTTCAAGCGTGGCCTGGATATAAAGATTTTTAAAATGACATATATTGAAAGGCTGAAGGAACATGTTTTGTTTTTCTTATTTTTCACATGCTCTAGTAATTTATTTTCTACTATGTCAAATAAATGAATACCAAGAAATAAAGTGACTAATCTTAAACTTTTCAAAAGCCCTCAAAGCAGCTATTTTTCATCACAGCCTTCATCCATAGCATCTGTTACATGCATTATTCCCTCTGTTTCTAACACCTTTCCACCTTGTTCCTAAAATTCCTACCTATTCTTCAAGGATTAGTTCAGATGTCAATCACTGTCTTACTACTCTGAGGTACCTCTCCACTCATCACTGCAGCCTCCACTAGGAAATCATTTTCTCTTTCCCCTCTGACCTTATAGTATTTCTCATTTGGCAATATCTGTCCATATCTTTCCTGCTAGACTGTGACCATCTGGATGCTAGATACCATATCTTGTTTACCTCTAATTTCTCAGAGCAAAGCAAATAAAGTATTAAACAATGTTTGGAATTTAAAGGAGTAAACCAGCTAACATTGTAATGTTTTTAGATCATTTACTTAAACAAAGCCTCTCTTTTATAGAATCTACGCTTTGCAATCCTGAATCTCAAGCAAAATATCATTGTGAGCCGCTCAGTGACAGAATGTCTTTACCAGTCGGCATGTCATGCTCAGAATTCTCTACATGTGTACTGG